CATAGAGGCTTCCATGGTGGTATCCTCATGAGCAGGAAATGTCTTTTTAACAACCAATTAAAGATGAGCCAGGCTGCTAGCTTACAAGAGGAATGTTTACACAGAGGAGCTTTTTGAAAGAGAGAAAGGGAGGAAAAAGATTCATCGTGGGGGAGAGAGGAGGGAGAGATAGAGAGAGAGAAGAGGTAGGAAGAAAGCTGGAGAGCTGAATGAGGTAGAGTCCAGGATTTGGCACTTTCACAGGTGTGCACAACAGGGGGTTCGAGGAGGAAGGAGTCTGTGTACGTGTGTATGTGTGTGTGTCAGAGTGTGTGCATGAGTGTGTGGAGCTGCCAAACTGGCCACCTGTCTTTCCCTCGTTGTAGTTTTAGTGTTTCCTTTCATCCGGCCCTCAGCAGCACAGCTCCCACTTGGAGCAGTTAGCCTCCTGCCGTGTGTGTGTGTGCGTGTGTGTGTGTGTGTGTTTGTGTGTGTGTGTGTGTGTGTGTGTGTGTGTGTGTGTGTTTGCGTAGCTTAGGTCCCAGTTGGGTTAGAAAGACTAATGTTCCTAAAGGTGCATTTCGCTCTTTCCTCCACGTTTTTATATCTTTGTTCTTTATGTTTTATTGAGACAGTTCGAGTGGAGGCAGGAAGTTGGCCAACAGGCCTACAGAGCAGGAGAGGACACCAGAGGAAACTTCTGCTCCAATGTCAACAGGAGGTCATGCTTCAGGAAAAGCACTGCTACCTATCCATCTTTAATTAATAGACCTTATTCATCTGGGTACCATCTGAGCGCAAAAACATGGATGAGTTGGAAAAAAAACAGGAAGTGCTCCTGTCTCCTCCACTGATTCTGATGTTATGACAGTTGAAAAATGTAGAAATGACTCGTTTATGCTTTTGAGAGTTAAATCCAAGAGCCGGTCTAGACTTATTTATAAAAACTGTCATGGTTACTAAAAACAAATTTGATTTGAGAAATATGAGCTGCACATTCAGTTTCCTACTTACCAGTTACTGAATCTGTATTGGAGGATGGAGCTAAAGCAAGTATCCCATGAAGCCAAACAGTTCCACAAGTAGTCAAATTGAGGATGCACAAACAAATATTTTTGTATTCACAATGCCTCAAAGGACTTTGTGTACGGGTTGCTGGTACTCAGGAACCCACAAGTACCGGTAATTATTGCCCGACTCTGCCATTACCCCAATCTCTATTTTCTTTTCTTTTTTTCATTCATTGTTTAGGTTGTTTGGCTTACTGCTGGTTCACTCTCTCCACTCTTATAGTGTTATTCTGTGTTATTGCCACAGCAGGCAGCTGCACACCTGCTCAGTGGAGCATTTAGAAACTAAGGGGGCAGTTCTTTCAGGCAATGGTGGAGACCAAAACAGAACTAAAAGGAGAATGAATGTTTGATTTGCATTCCAAATTAATGCTACTCTTTCTCTGTGTCTGCTGGATGTGTGAATTGTTTTCCTAATGTTTGTATGCTAATATATATATATATATATATTAGTATCATAAGTTGATAATAATATAAATTATGTTCCTCTCTTAATTAATTTACTGCTTTGAACAAGCAGCCTTAAATCAATTGTTCATTACCCCAATAGCAGCATGTGTGTAACTAAGTTTTAGCCAGCAAAGAGTAGGTGCTAAAACAACATCTTTTTATAGCATCAAAATGAAAAGAGAGTAGTGAGGGTACAAGGACAAATGAATGAATGTTATTATTGGGAAATCAACTCAGCTGTTTGTGGGCACCTTGACTCTAAACCACAGCTGCAAGTCTGGTGCTAACACTGACCACTAACCACAACAACATGTTGTAACTTCAGTTTCTACTGTTTCATTAAATTAAAGCCATTACTTTGATGGACTAAGGGAAGTCACTTTTAGATTTACTTATTTTTAAATCAAGTAAATTGTCATTAGAACTCCTGAAGCCTGCCAGCCTTCATATGATCCATGTGCATTGTTTGGGACATTTTGTGAGGACGCTCAATGTGCAGAGTAACAGAAGGAGTAAAATGGGATACAGAGAACATGACCTGCAGCTCACCACAACTTGCAGTGAAAAATAACTTTAAAGGGATGTATTATCATCTCCGTGATTCAGGCATGAACATCACAGGAAAATATGGCGGGATAATTACTGTTATTGTTGAGCTCACCAGAGAACATAAACACGTTCTGTGATGTTTTCTTTTATATGTGATTAAAATAGATCAGAAATTTGTGTTTTCAGTATGTACGCTTTCACTACCTCCCGCCAGCTCTCAGTTATATTCCAGATATGTTTTATTTATCTAAATCGTCTTCAGGCTACATCCACCACCCCCTCTGGCACTGGTGCCACCTCAGACTCTGCTAATGCCAGGACAAAAGCTGCTTTTTATTACTTCAGCTATCAGTGTTCACATGCCAGATTTCCATGGGGGCATCTTCGTCAGAGACCATTATATTGATAATAAGAGCCAGTCGATCATCCAACCTCCGGTTCACCTTGGTCCAAAACCGCCCACTTAAATTCACCGCAGCAGTCTGCCCTCTCAGCTGATCTGTTTTCATCAATGTAAAATACAGAGATCATTAGACAGCTAAGCTATATCACAGATCCTGCTGCCTAGCGCAAGTGTGTGCGTGCATGTGAGTGTGTGACCGTACATGCATGCATACGTCCATCTATTTGTGCATATGTAAGTTCATCGGCGTATGAGTGTGTAAATGGTCATCTGTGTGTGTGCTAAATTGTGCGTGTGTAGGCGTTGGGGGAACCTGATCTGGTCTGTGTGGGAGGAACCAGTTCCTTTTTCCCCCCTCTCTGCTGCTCAGACAGACGGCCTGCTAGAGAGATCAGACTCTCAGACTAACTGGACCAGAAGTCATTAGGACACACTAGACACACAGCGCTTTTTTCAAAGCTTTTGCTTCCTTTTAAAAAACCCTCAGCAGTAAGATTATCTACGTCTCATCGGCTCATAATAGAACTAAGATCTTTTAAACAAGACGCACGGCGCTTTTCAAACCTTTGTCTCAGGAACTAGCGAGCAGCAGGGACCACTTACTCCGAAACTGTGCCCTGAGATTTAGTCTTTTGTTTCCCGGTGTTAAGTTTGGGGAGGAAAAACCTGCTCTGGCACTTGAGTTTAAAGGGCATTTCAAGCATAATGCCAGAGCTGCATTTTGTCTTTGGTATAAGCGATTCTCCAGGAAGGATTTTCAACTATCTTTAGTTCATTATTTGGCTGCAATTGTTGTTTTTTTTGCTAGACTTCATAAAGCATGCTACCAACTGTGAAACTGTATTTTTCAGTTCAGTTCAGACTTTTCTAGTCCCAAATTTAAATCTACACCTTTCCTCCCCTTCATCACCTTTGTGAGTTATTTCATTAACGCGGGTGTCCTTTACATGACATCACTCTGAGGAACAGTCAGACACATTAACTCTAAAACCGTCTGCAAGCGTTCGGTACTGTTTATAGTTTAGGGGTGTTTGTGAGATTACACACACAATAAATCAGCTTTGATTTTCAGGGCCGCCTCCTCTAAAAACTCTGTTTTGGCAGCGTGATCAAGTTTGAATTTTTTGTTAGTTGTTTTTCTTCACCGGGCACTTGTCACATTGTAGGAAAAAGCTCCATAATTGGCACCTCTGTCGCAGAAACAGCTTGTTAGCATTGTTAAAAAATAATTTGGAAACGCCAAACCGGTGCAGCACAGGGGTTAGCCTCCATTAAAAGAACGGCTCATTTACATTTTGCTTAATGGTGGAAAATAGCTTGAGAAATACTGCAGTTATGTGGTTTTAAAAAGCTGAACACCATAGACTGTATTAATAGATTCTAACTCTTTAAAACCATTTTTCTAATAAAACCTATAGTAACTATGAGAAGAATCCTAGAAAAGAAGAATCTCTCTCACATCAACCATACAGTGCAACACTTTCAGTTTGGTTTCCCTGGAACTGGATTTGTGAGTTTTTCTGCAAAACCAGAGAAAAAACGCAACATGAACGGCTTCGCTTTTCTTAAAATGTGACAATTTAAAGAAAAAGTAGGGGGCAACATTCCACATTGCTAATGCCCTGCTCATTTTCCATAAAGGCAGTGGACAGATTCGGAGAAAAACAGAGTAGAGAGATGCTGAAAGAGTGGGACAGAGAGAGCGTGGTATGGAAACAGTGGGAAAAGGTAGTGAAAATTAAAGGAAGAAAAGAAAACTGGAGAAGGAGGATCTGATAGATAGATAGATAGATAGATAGATAGATAGATAGATAGATAGATAGATAGATAGATAGATAGATAGATAGATAGATAGATAGAAAACCAAGGTAAAGAGAGGGTAAGTGGTGCGTGGCTAAACACGCTGGAAAGCCATCACCAACCAGACTCTGGCCAGTGGCACTCTGGGGAACAGAGAGGAAGAGCAGAGGAGGAGAGGAGGAGAAGAGAGAACGAGCATGTGGAAAGGTAAAGAAGAGGACAGCGAGGGGACACAGGCAGATGTCCAAGCAGCCATACCTGCAGATTCAATTCTGATCCCCCCCCCCTTCCTCTCTCTTCTGCTCGCCTTTCCTCTGCTCCTGAGAACCCCTCTAGTCTGCCTCGTCTTAAAACCCTCTCTGTCTCTGTCTGCTCTGATCTTGGTGCCCCAGAAGAGAAGGAAGAAAGCAAGAAAGCAAGAAAGAGGGAGTTTGTGACAGAGAAGACACAGAGAGAGAGAGAGAGACAGCCAAAAGTAAAACGAGGTATTAGGCTGATGTGAGCTACAGGTGAAGCCACTGCGGAGCTTCCACTTAAGCTCGCTGTACTTCTTTTGAAAAGGAATTGATTCGAAACGTCCAAAATGATCCCTCCCCTAGTTGCCTAAATGAGCAATAGTATGATGAAACCACCATTTGGTATTAAAATATCTGTGTGGTGCGGGATAGTTTCACAGTGGAAACTTTTATAATGTTTATTGGTTGGAGCTAGGGAGGATTTGAGAGTAAAAAATACCACCGACATATAAATGAACTCCCAGATATACAAACAATTTATTGGTCATCTTGAGTTATTTTCCAGCATTAAGAAATTTTCAGAGATGATTATTAGAAATAACCAATACCACAAAAGTTCCAGCATGTTTTCTATGATGCCATAAATTGTGTCAATAGCCCATGTGTTGCACCTTTATACCTTTCATTATTTGTCATGAATGTCAATGCCGGTTAAATAACATAGTTTCATTATATAATGTTATGTCACATAAATATACATTTATATTTCAGTTTACACATTAAGAACACACAGCTTTTGATGAATACAAATCTTTCATAGGTTCTGTGTGTTTTTCGATCATGTGCCATAAGTTCCTTAGACTCTGAACAAAGAGTCTTTGAACAATTCAGTAAAACGTCTCTTATAAGTGTTGTTGAAACAGTCTTCATAATCATGTGAAAGCCCTTTAAAAGTACTGTTCAACTTTTCAGAAGTGTTTCAAACGTATTTGAAAACACCCTTAAAAGTAAAAAAGTTCTTGTAAAGTGATACAAAATGTGTTTTTTTTAAAAAAGAAGAAATGCTTGGTAAAGTTCCTTGAAAAGTCCTGGAAGTGCTAAAGAAGTCCTTCAAAAGTCTTTGAAGTCTGACAAGTCTTCAAGTTGCAGTAATAGTAGAATCACAGAAAGCGTCGCTCAAGTGACGAGACTTTCATCCGTGTGGTTTGTGTCCTCATTGTTAACTTCTGATGGCCGTCTTCCGGTCTCTGTCTTTGTTCTGAAAGAGAGAGAAACAACATCTCATAGCATCGAGGATTCAACACTGAAGTCCCTTCAAAGAAATAGTACAGCTTAGCTTAGCATAAAGACTAGAAACAGTAGGAAACAGCTAGCATTGGCTCATAACCTCCTGAAAATTTCTTTAAAAGGAGACGTTAGGAAAATGTTGTTACCTCTCGATAGAGGCTAAGCTAGCTGTTTCCCCGTCTCCAATCTTTATGCTACGCTAAGCTGACTTGCTGCTAGCTGTACAATAGCTTTATATTGACTGTACAGACCAGAAAAGGTTAGAAGGTTGGAAAAGAATATGCTAATAATAAGTCATTTCCATATTTGAGTCAGTTTTATTGTACTCGTTTGGTTTTGATAGATTCTTTTTGTAGGTTTATAAACACACTCCACCAACTTTGATTAACTGATTATCAAATTGTCCTCCCCCAAATATCTAAATATGCTTAACAGGTGAGTAAGACTGCTGTCTTTGATGTCAACCCTTCAATATATTGTCATGAAATGGGACTCCAGGAAAATGCTGTGCATGTTGTGGAAATAGATCCTGTTTTACTGCAATCACTGGCACACTACAGTTATGTGGTTTTGTGCTATATGCACTTCAGCAGGGTTGAAAAAGTAAATTAACCTTGACGGAGTGCAGTAAACTCCCTCAAACACATTGTGCACAGTAGCATTCATGCTGTACATTAATTGTGGTGGTGGTAGCTAACTTTATTATAGCCTGAAGAGTGACATCATGAGCTGGTGTATGACAGCCCTGCATGATGATATGCTTTTCATTTATCTGTGGTATCAGAACACAGAGGCCTTGATTTCCTGGCTGGTGACGAGAAGACTTTCTCTATCTGGCCAGGAAAATAACATCACATTTTCCCTCCTCACCTAACCTCTGCTCTGCGCACTTCTCAGGCCATCTACCACACGCTTTCCAAGCTACAGTCGAGGGATTTCATCAAACACACCATTGAATGATATGCAACACACGTCATCCTTGTTTTACTAATTACTTTGCAAGGCTGCTGTTTGATTAGCTCAGCTGGCAAAAGATCTTAGGCCGAAACCTCATTTGTGGTCGACAAATATGTAAAAAACAAATCCTCTCTTCATTCTTTTTGCAAGTGAAAACAAGAAAACTTATTTTTGTAAAAGTATACGAAGAGTGCAGATAAACGTCTCTGCACTCCTGTCCTCTCCTGACTTTAACTTTCCCCTTGTCATATCGTCTTGACTAACGCTCACTGCCGCCCCCACCTCGCCTTCCTCTCATCAGCCGAACACCTGTTACACATTTCCTCTCAGACCGTACACCAAGTGTAGGTGTTTGGAAAAATCCATTTGACTGACATCGACAAAGGTGGGTAGGTGTTTGGAAGGGTATCAGGCGGTAATGAGAGTGAGATCATAGGATTTGGACAGGAATCGGTCCTCCCACTGATTGAGGTGAGTGTTAGGAGACACAGGAGTTATTATTGTCAATACTTCCTCCAGCTGGACTGAGAGCACAGGATCCTTATTAGTTTGCTATTATCTAGACATGAGCCATTACCATTATGTTGTTGGCTGTATGCGAGTAGACATCTTTTATCTTTTATCTATAGACACACCACCAATATTTCTGAAAAACAACACCAAAAGTTGAAGGTTAGATTTTGAGATTGCCTTAGAAACATATGGTCACTGGAGGTTTATCTACACTGTATTTAGCACCAGTGGTCAATAATTATCCTGCAAGAAATCCATCAAAGAAAAGAAAAACAGAATTACCAGATTAGTTGACTCAGTATACCAGAATTCATTTCAGCCACAAGATTGTTATTTGTTTTGTCTTGTTTTGTGTGAAACTACACTGTTTTACTACAGTTGTGTAACATTGTCCACTGTAGTGTGTCTACCACATGTTTTCGCAATGTCAAATGAAAGTTCTTATAACATGTTACAACCCTGTCTCCTAGAAATTACATTCATTAAATACTAATTTGTAACAGCCAGTACAATTTAGAAGAAATGTCATGGGTCCCACTTTATATTTTTTTATCGACATATCTACCAAGGGACAAAACGTTGATATTGAACCAACATGCAAATTGTTCAATGACAATGTATTTGAGTATTTTTTCATTCTTACAATACAATCAATATCTGCCGATTACAACTGAAGCGTGATTCATCTTTTTTTCCGCTGACATGTATAGGCACATACATTACATGATTAAAGAGAAATACAGTGGTCTTAGGTAAAGCCAAAGGTGACTTACGGTGCGAGAAAAAAACATTATTAACATTTAATTAAATGCACAATCTTTGCCTAATCTTACCGAAAGTGCTTTGTTGCCTGAACTTTACCACACGCAGGACTCATGGAGGATGAAAACCCCGGTTTCTGAGGCCCATGTCCATCACTTTGACACCCATCCTTCCACCCTGACCACCTCCTTTTGAAATTATGCCCAAAACTGTTCCACTTCCTTCTCTTGAGGAAACATCTCCAGGGAATGTAATCCAGGCAGCAATTACTGTATGTTTGTTTTTAGTCATTGATAAAACAAATAGGTAGTTTGAAGTTCGATGGTCATTAACGAAGAGCTTTAAATCTTACTTCCCAGACAAGAAAAAAAGTTAAATTTAGGCTGTCTTATTATTATTTTATTTCATTGCTGCCATCATATACTCTACATGCATGGAATTGTCTCTCTAATTGTAAGTAAGTTTCACACACAACCTGGAAAACGTTCGGCCTCACTATGGCATTGCTGTTACTGTGCTTTCACAAAATTTGAAACAGAGACAAGGGCGGCCATGCTCTCTCACCGTGGAAAATTGTAGGGTAGTTATTAGTGGAAATAAAAATAACTGCGGCAGGTAAGAAAAAGTGGGTACAAGACAATTGGATGATTTACCAAATTACATCAAATTACGCAATGATATCACTGGGAATCAGCCCACGGCTCACTGCGAGTGCTCGGCGGTCGTTTAGAAAGCACAGCTGGTGAAGGCGGTTCAGCTGGAGTGTAACTGGTTCAGTCAAAACAGGAGGAGGGGGGCTTTAAGGCTGGCCTGGTAGTCAAAACAATCTCCTGAAGACTAATCGGGCATGGCCGGATGACATCTCTGCTCTCTCTCTTTCTTTCTCTAAACACCCACCCACACACACACACACACACACACACACACACACAAGAGAGAGAGAGACATACCACTGACTTCCCAGGGGGGTGATTTGTCCAACACTAATATGATTACCTGATGATATTTACTTTAGATACGATATGATGATATTACCACACTGGAACAATATTATTGTTTTATCAAGGCGAAAGGAGCGTGTTTTAACTTTAATGCGAAGGTAGTAAACACTCTTCACGGCATCTTATCAACTCTACAAATTCAACCTTCAATATTGTTTTTCTGAAACTCCATCCGGGCTGTTCTTTTACCTATAAATGTGGATTTTCCATGCACTCTCTCTCTCTTTTTTCCTGTGTTAAGCTGTTCTGTCAAATATAAACATCTAATTTAGTTTCTGGCTGCACGAAGAGAGGAATGACTGGTTGGAAAAAATAATTCCACTTGGGTACTGGCCCAACAATCGTATAAGGAGATTGGTATTCAACCATGAAATGAAAACTGGTAATATCCCTTTAGTTTATCCAGTGAAAATATGTGAATATGCAACGGTTCCCTGGAGTGTCTAATAGAAGCTGTAATTACCCTCATAAATGATCATCGATTAGAAGATTATGGACATATGTTAAAATAGTGCAATAAATTACACATCAGACTTTTAAATTAAGCTAACTAACACACCAAATAAGCCGCAGTCTGCCATTATGTGGCTTGGATACATCAGACGTGTACTTCATGTTCACTGTGGTTTGCTAATAAGCATCCTGATGGCTCCTGAAAAACACTTGATTTATCTTAGATGGCCTAATCAGATGTAATTCGCACCAGCCGGCCACACATGCATTTAATTGTTCCCACATTTTAATAATCGGTTATAATGACTCCAGAACAAGGCCGACTTAATTTTCACCAGTCTCTGATGACTTCATTCTGCTGCGTTACGCTGCAGCCAGCACTTTATCATCAGTGTTAAGATGTGCACTCTGCAACAGCCAATGTGTCATTAGCTTCAGTAGATATTGTTTTAAGAAACTGCACATTCTAAAGTACCAATTTATGCGTTTGTCTGTGTTATAGATTTCTTTTAGATTTGCTCTTTGCCTGGCTCAGTTTCCTGCAGTTTTGTTTTAATCTGCTCCGTGAGCAACCGTTTCCCTACAGACCAAATGACAACAGAATGATAGTTTTGCTAATAGATTTTGTTAGTTATCTGACCCGACTTCTGCTGTTGGTGTTAAATTAGGGTTTAACTGCTTCCATCTGGGCTGAAAATATACAGACAGGTCCATGCATGGAGGCACACGTCATACACAGAGCCAGGCTCACACACACATACACCGAACGTGAGGAAGAATATATTTGAAAATTGCCCGCAGTATATAAGCCATCGACGCACCTCATTAGCATAGCTTGAAATGAGAAGCAAACAGTCAAAGCTCTTCCCTCACAGGGCACAAAACATTAACTCCAAGTCAACACCAGCATTATCAGTAAATGAGGGTAATTTAGTTTTCATCTCTGACCTTGAAATGTCTACTTCATGCAAGTGACGTAGTGCTTTTTTCCAGTGAAAACAGACTAATAACCAAATGACTGTAAAAACCACAATCATTAGTGTGCTCTTGCACATGCCCTATACATGCATTTAAGCCCTCTTAAGGTGCACGCTTCATTTGATCTCTATAAAGAAGCAAAGTGTAGTTTCGGCACAGTCGAAAACCAACTGTCCAAACTGGAGGATAAATAGCAAAGTTGATTATCCCACTGAGTCGTTGGCTATTTCTCTGTCTCTCTTTCTCTCTTTCTCCAGCTCTGTTTCCACAACTTCCTGCACACCATTAGTTAAGAAAGTGTTGAAAG